GTTGTATAGAGGATTTTCCAAGGAAGGAGAAATCCAACGACTGTTTGTCGTTTTTCAAATGTTGCTCCTGCGTGAAACCACCCCCCCTCCCCCACAGCTCCTACGTAGAAACACCTCCTCCCTCCTCCTCCTTACGCCACAAACAGGTTTGTTTCTAGAAAACAAGTCCTCATCACTGCACATGACTTGTAAACAACTAACTACAGTGTTGGTTAGACAAGATGGAGAAGTGAGGAGCAGGGGGAGGGGGGCGCGGAGAGAAGTGAGGAGCAGGGCAGAGAAGGTGCGCGGAGATTCCGTGCGAATGAACTAGCTACAACACGCAGCAGCAAGCGGACTCTTTCTTTGCATTGAAAATGACATTTTCAGACATAGGATATCGCTTTCGTGTCCTGAAAAACGTTTGTCTCGCTCTTGGAAATAAAGTACGTTTTTCATAATAAGCAGAAGTTTCCTGTCCAGGAGTAATTTGTGGACCAGTGGTTCAGTCTTTAGACCCTTCGTCTGCTTCAGTCGCGCCATCGCTGGAATGAATCTTCAAGAATCACCTTAGTTTGGCTTCGCTGCTTTTCCCCTTGTCTTCTTCTTTCAGCGACCTCAAAAACGGACTTTCTTTTGAGGTGAACTGCTCCTGGATTCTTGTCGCCATCGCAACAAACTTTGTGCAAACTGCGAGGAAGATATAGGTCAAAAAAAGCCGCTAAGAACTGTTGCGTTGGTGGAGTAAACAGCGTCTGTGCGTCTTGCGTCTGTGGACTGTGTGACAGGCGTATGTAAACCACGTACCGGCGGCGCAGGCAAGTCAGTTACACTAGAAACGTAGGGAGTTTGATTGACAGCCTGTCAGCTCACAGATAACGAGGAAGTGTCGTTATCTATTGGCAAATGTTTAGCCCCACCACGTCCAGAGTTGATGAATTTTTATTCTCTTTTTTTTGGTCATCATAATTACAAGGCGACTGCATCTCTATAATCTATCACTGACAATTTGAAACAAAAAAAAATCCTCCATACAACCTTTAAGAAACAGGACGAGGACGTGTAAATCCTGACACTGCAAACTTCTCTGATCTGACCGAGATTTTAAAACTTATCTCAGGTTATTCGTCTTGTTTTCAGATTTTTTATCCACTTACTAGTTCTGAGTTGGATTAATTCTAGTCTAGAGTTTGTTTATTTTAAGCGAACTTGTCAGTAAAATGATCTCGCTGCTTGGACAAGTCATTTTCTGATAGATTTAAGTGTTTATATTTTACATTTTGGCCAAGTTTTTTTGCAGCGGACCTGGTTTAGTCGTGTTTCTGAGAACTCGTTTAGTCTTGGTTAAGTCCTAGTAAAGTTTTGGATTAGTCCTGGTTTAGACGCTCCAGATTTCTCTAATCGGGCCAAGATTTTAAAACTTATCAGGTTATTCCTCTTGTTTTCAGATTTATTATCGATTTACTAGTTCTGATTTGGATTAATTCTCGTCTAGAGGTCGTTTATTTGAAGAGAACTTGTCCAGTGAAATGATCTTGGTGCTTGGACACATCATTTCAACACTTTAAAGTCATTTAAGTGTTTATATCTTAAATTTTGGCCAAGCTTTTTTGCAGTGGAACCTCACTAAAGCCCAATTTATGGTCGTATGTCAAATCATCTGCGTCACCGTGATCCCTCCGCAGAGCGTCTGCAAGTGCACCTCTGAAATTTTCTAACTATATGTTGAAACGGCGCAGACAGTAAGAGCCGTGATCGGTCGTCTCTACATCCGCTCTACAGACGTTTCCGGTTCTCCGCTTTCCCGCTTCATTTTGTAAACTCAGACGCAAGTTTCAGGTCGTGGCCTCCTCACGTTGTGGCGGTGAATTACTTGGCGACGCATAAACCTCGACGCAGATCCGTGAATCAAAAACGACGGGGACAGAGAGCGTTGAGTCGACACAGAAATATAATTCAGCCTTGAGATGGAGAAACCTTTACACTCATATTTAATTTGATCAAAAAAGCATAAATAGGCAGGATCTAAGAATTAAAAGGAGCTTCTTCTGTTTAAAGTCCAGACGCCTCCAAAACACTGCAGAAAAACTCGGCCAAAATGTAAAATATAAACACTTCAATCTATCAGAAAATGACTTAAAAGTAGAAATGAAAAGATGTGTCCAAGCAGCAAGATCATTTTACTTGACAAGTTTTCTTAAAATAAACGACCTCTAGACTCAAATGAATCCAAATCAGAACGAGTAAGTTGATAATAAATCTGAAAACAAGACGAATAACCTGAAGTTTTAAAAATCTTCTGAATCCGTTTTTTCTGCTCGTGACGCTTTGATTGACTCAAAGTTTTTGTTTGGAAATAAATACTGTAGAATATTTACTTTGAGGGGAAAAGGTCAAACTTTAAACTTTGTAGTAAAATCAAGAGAGTCCTGGTTTAGTCCTGGTTTAGTCCTGTTTAGTCCTGTTTTAGTCCTGGTTTAGTCTTCCTTTAATCCTGGTTTAATCCTGGTTTAGTCCTGGTTTAGTCCTGGTTTATCCTGGTTTAGTCCTGGTTTAGTCCTGGTTTAGTCCTGGTTTAGTCTTCCTTTAATCCTGGTTTAATCCTGGTTTAGTCCTGTTTTAGTCCTGGTTTAGTCCTGGTTTAGTCTTCCTTTAATCCTGGTTTAATCCTGGTTTAATCCTGGTTTAGTCCTGGTTTAATCCTGGTTTAGTCCTGGTTTAGTCCTGGTTTAGTCCTGGTTTAGTCCTGGTTTAGTCTTGATTTAGAACTGGTTTAATCCTGTTTAGGTCCTGGTTTGATCCTGGTTTGGTCCTGGCATAGATCTGATTTAGTCCTGTTTTAGTCCTGGTTTAGACCTGGTTTAGACCTGGTTTAGTCCTGGTTTAGACCTGGTTTAGACCTGGTTTAGACCTGGTTTAGACCTGGTTAATCCTGGCGTAGATCTGATTTAATCCTGTTTTAGTCCTGGTTTGGACTTCTAGACTAGAATGAATCCAAATCAGAACGAGTAAATCGATAATAAATCTGAAAACAAGATGAATAACCTGATATGAGTTTCAAAATCTTGGCCAAATCAGAGAAATTTGCAGTGAATGAGAAATTATTTGGATGTTTTTTTTTTTCTGAATCCGTTTTGACACTTTGAATGACTTAGTTTTTGTTTGGAAATAAATACTGTAGAATATTTGCTTTGAGGGGGAAAAGGTAAAACTTTAAACTTTGTAGTAAAATCAAGAGACTCTGATAATGTGACGAGACAGACGACCTCTCCTGACCTCTGACCTCTGACCTCTGCCCCGCACGTCGGACTCTTTTGGTAAGTTTTCGTTTTTCGTTCTTCTTCTGCTCAGGCGTATCTGGAGTTCTTCACGTCCAGCGAGAACGTCAACGCTCTGCTCAAAGTCCTGAAGAAGTACGAGCCCCGAGTCAACTACCACATCGTCAACGTCCACGTGAGTCCTGCCCCTGTGTGTTCAGTTCTGTGTGTGTGTGTTGTGTTCAGTTCTGTGTGTGTGTTGTGTTCAGTTGTGTGTGTGTGTGTGTGTTCAGTTGTGTGTGTGTGTTGTGTTCAGTTGTGTTCAGTTGTGTGTGTGTTGTGTTCAGTTGTGTGTGTGTGTGTGTGTGTTGTGTTCAGTTGTGTTCAGTTGTGTGTGTGTTGTGTGTGTGTGTGTGTGTGTTGTGTTCAGTTCTGTGTGTGTGTTGTGTTCAGTTGTGTTCAGTTGTGTGTGTGTGTGTTGTGTTCAGTTGTGTGTGTGTGTGTGTGTCAGTTGTGTTCAGTTGTGTGTGTGTGTGTTTGTGTTCAGTGTGTGTGTGTGTGTGTTCAGTTGTGTGTGTGTGTGTTGTGTTCAGTTGTGTTCAGTTGTGTGTGTGTGTTTGTGTTCAGTTGTGTTGTGTTGTGTTGTGTGTGTTCAGTTGTGTTCAGTTGTGTGTGTGTGTGTGTTGTGTTCAGTTGTGTGTCAGTTGTGTGTGTGTGTGTGTTCAGTTTGTGTTCAGTTGTGTTGTGTGTGTTGTGTGTTGTGTGTGTGTGTTCAGTTCTGTGTGTGTGTGTGTTCAGTTGTTCAGTTGTGTGTGTGTTGTGTTCAGTGTGTGTGTGTCAGTTGTGTGTGTGTTGTGTTCAGTTGTGTGTGTGTGTGTGTGTTCAGTTGTGTGTGTGTGTGTTGTGTTCAGTGTGTCAGTGTGTGTGTGTTCAGTTGTGTTGTGTTGTGTTCAGTTGTGTGTGTGTGTTGTGTTCAGTTGTGTGTGTGTGTGTGTGTGTGTGTTCAGTTGTGTGTGTGTGTTGTGTTCAGTTGTGTTCAGTTGTGTGTGTGTGTGTGTTGTGTTCAGGGCCGGAATCTGACCAACGCTCCGGACATGCAGCCCAACGCCGTCACGTGGGGCATTTTCCCCGGACGTGAGATCGTCCAGCCCACTGTGGTCGACCCGGTCAGCTTCATGTCCTGGAAGGTAAGACCCTCACCTCCTCTCGCTCCGGGCCCCGTCTCCCGTTTGGGGCCCCATCTCCCGCTCCATGTCCTGTCTCCCGCTCCGGGCTCCGTCTCCTGCCCCGACTCGTCTCTCGCTCCGGGCCCCGTCTCCCACTTCGGAATCCTCTCCCACTCCAGACTCGTCTCTCGCTCCGGGCCCCGGACTCGTCTCTCGCTCCGGGCCCCGGACTCGTCTCTCGCTCCGGGCCCCGGACTCGTCTCTCGCTCCGGGCTCCGTCTCGTGCCCCGGACTCGTCTCTCGCTCCGGGCTCCGTCTCGTGCCCCGGACTCGTCTCTCGCTCGCTCCGCTCCCAGACTCGTCTCTCGCTCCGGGCCCGTCTCGTCTCTCGCTCCGGGCCCCGTCTCTCTCGCTCCGGGCCCGGACTCGTCTCTCGCTCCGGGCCCCGGACTCGTCTCTCGCTCCGGGCTCCAGACTCGTCTCTCGCTCCGGGCCCCGTCTCCCACTTTGGAATCCTCTCCCACTCCGGACTCGTCTCTCGCTCCGGGCCCCAGACTCGTCTCTCGCTTCGGGCCCCGTCCCCCCCTCCAGATTTGTTTCCGGTTCTCGCCCCATCCCCGACTCCTGCTCCAAGCCCCGTCCCCCACTTTGAGTTTGTCTCCCACTCTCGCTCCGGGCCCCGTCTCCCACTTCGGAATCCTCTCCCACTCCAGACTCGTCTCTCGCTCCGGGCCCCAGACTCGTCTCTCGCTCCGGGCCCCAGACTCGTCTCTCGCTCCGGGCCTGTTTGACCAAGGATTTGTGACTCATAAAAATCCTAGAATCGGCTCCGCTGCTCCGAGTTTATGGAGCGTGTTCCGTCAGAATGTTCTCCACACTCGAACTGGACTCGTGAACGTTCTACCATCACAATCACGGCATTTTCAGTTTTCAGGTTTCACTTTTCCATATATTTTACATTTTATATCAACAGACTCTGTGTGAATCTTTTGTTTATCGAGTTGGTTTGGAATTTTAATGTTAAGAAATCAGATTTTTATAGCAACAAGTTTCACCAAAATAAAACCACAGAGCAGCAGCTGAAGTGGCCCTCGAGTCGACACTGACGTTTATTGCACTTAACAGCCTCAAAACAGATTTAATCAAATAATTTATAAATAATGAGGACGAAAATCAACAGTAACAATGGTTTTCTGTCACTTACGTTTAGTTTAAATATTTTTTATTATCATTATAAACTTTTTTTTTATTCTGTGTCTGTGTGTTTTAACTGTTCCGTTTACAGGCTTTTAGCTCAGAACAAACAGTAAATGAGAATAACTGAACTTTACTGGTGAAAGGATCGTCCATTTTCCTGCTTTTACTTTGGTCATTTTAATTTTCTAGAAACAGTTAAAGTTAAATCTCAGCGGCGGAGGTTTTGGATAAACATCTGTTGCTCGAGTTTCCTCTGATCGGTTTTTACGTGTCTCCTGTGTGTTTCTGTGGATGCAGGATTCCTCCCGCGGTGTCTTAAAAACTCTTAAAAGTATAGAATTTATAAATTTGGAAATAATACGTTAAAAATCAATAACTGAGAACACGACACAGCCCCGGGTCAGAATCCTCCGAACACGTCACTGAGGATCACGAGCCACAGCAGCACAAGAAACAAGAGAAGCAGAAGCACAGAAGAAAGTCTGAGCAGAACACAAAGTTTGACTGACACCGTTATGTTTTTTTTTTTTTAAAACACTGGTTTTAACACAAATTCAAGAGTTTTTCTTTGCCTGTAGCTCTGACCGTGTTTCCCAAACTTTTTTTCTGAGGATTCATAGTTTAAAAGTCACAAACCTTCAAGACCCAAGTCCATAGACATTATTCATAAATCACAAAATAAAGGTGGGGTTTTGCATTATTGAACATTTATGAGGAGATTTTATTGTTGACTGACTGATCGTGTCTCTGATCAATTAGTATTAAGTTTTAAAGGAGCAATAAAAGGATTCAGAAATCGACTATTTGTTCTAGGGATGGGCATGATTAGTCGATTAATCGATAATTGATCATTAAAAATTTCATCGATTACGTTCATTTTAATGGACAAACTGAATGTATGTTTGTGTGTCGTGACCAAACAGGTGTGTACATGTGTCTCTGCATCAGAAGGAGCGAGACACAAACAGTGGGTCAGTCTGTAACGAACCGAAGCACAAATGTGGATTTAACCAGGATTTGTAGAAGAAATTCCACACTTTCCGTTGCGTTGGGACAAGTGTGAGTCCATGTGCACAGTGGATAAAGCAGCACATATGTTTCTGTGTCCAGTGGGAAAAAGTTTTTCCAGGTGAGAGTCGCTCAATGTGGATGACGAGGCCCCGCCCCCCTCCCCCCGTACGCTGTCCTGGTTTTGACAAACACAAATCTGGTCACACTGACCTGTATTCACCTGAGTCATGTCTTTTAATCCAACACAAGTTGAACCACATCAGCGACACAAGAGCTGGAGTTTTATCTTCACTTAGTTTATGTAAATTAGTGATGTGGTTTTAAGTTTTGTTTCTGTGAGATTTGAACAAAACTGAATTAAACACATTATAATGTCAAACAGCTGATGTGGATCTAGAGTCGTTATGTTTATATGTCGTAAAGTTGAATTTATTGATGCAGATTAGTAGTGCAGTGCCCCTGTCTCAAATAAATAAATAAATAAATTTTAATATAAAAACGTTAATGATTAATCGATAATCGATCGTTAATTCTTCCGACGATCGATTAAGAAAATTTCATCGAATGCCCGTCCCTAATTTGGACTCTAAATGTAGAACGTTTCTTTTTCTTTTCAACATTCAACTGAACCAGAAATTCTGGAACAAACAGTCAATAAAATAATGACAAAAAGATTAGAAATGATACAAAACATGTCTTAACATTTGAACATTTCTAGTGAGATCGTTGGTCTGTGTTTTTGTGGCGTGTTTCAGTTCGGCTGCAGGACGAGACGCAGCAGCAGATCAGACGCAGCTTCACTCTGTTTCTGTTTGTTTCTGTTTCTGTGCTTTGCTTTCATTTTTGGGCATGATTAGTCGTCTAATCAATAATTGATCGTTAAGAATTTTGAATGTTTCCTTTTTGGTTCTTCCTGTGGATCAATCCTGCCCATCACCTTCACCTTTCACTATTTTTCAATTCCGTTGGGAAGAGAAACAGTTTGAACAGAGGTTTGAGTCACACACATCTGATTCACTTTTGCATTTATGAAGTTCACAAACTTCCGAAGTCCATTCCTTGAGTCGTTTTCCGCTGTTTGGATCCAACAACCACAACAATTAACGACGTCCGAATCCCAAAACCAAAATATGACAATATCAGAACCAGAAACAAAAGTGACATGGTTCAAAAGACTTGAAAAGATCCACTTTGTCAATAGACACGTCCCACTGGGAAAACAAACATGCAGGTTTGATGAGCACTTTTTCTGAAGAATCCTTCCCAGTATGAATTGTACGATGACCAGAAGTCTGAGATTCGGGATGATTGTATATTGGAATATTCTGGAGCTCACAGTTTGTCTCATAAAACAGAGCAGCGTTTATCCAAGGAAACTGAACAGAACATTTTGGACAGTAAATGTGCCTTTAGTCTGAAATTAAAACAGTCAGATTATCGTTCTCACCTCTGACTGTGTTTTTGTGTTTGTGTGTTTGTGTTTGTGTGTTTTGTTTCCAGGACGAGGCGTTCGCTCTGTGGATCGAGCAGTGGGCCAAACTGTACGAGGACGAGTCTCCGTCTCGTATCATCATCAAGTACATCCACGATAACTACTTCCTGGTGAATCTGGTGGACAACGACTTCCCCCTGGACAACTGTCTGTGGCAGGTCCTGGACGACATGTTTGAGCTGCTGCGCTCCGACACGGGGCCCCTGGACCTCGGGGACCTCGGGGAGCCTCAGGAGCCTCAGGAGCCTCAGGAGCCTCAGGAGCCCCGGGACGCCGCGCTGAGCCAGGGGGCGGGGTCTGAGTGATGTTTGGTCGTGTGAGACTCAGAAACTCCAGGAGAATGTTCGTCACAGATGCACAAATTTAACTCAGGGACTGAACACGGCCCCTGACCCTCTGACCCCCTGACCCCCTGACCCCCTGACCCTTCCTGACCCCCTCTGACCCCCTGACCCCCCCCTGACCCTGACCCCTGACCTGACCCTGACTGACCCCCTGACCCCCGCTGAGTTGCTGCTTCAGTCCGAGGATCAGTCTGGTCCTTCTGCCTTTGACCTGGAGCTCTGGTCTCGTGCTGCTGCTGCTGCTGTCGTTTTACGAGGATGAACTGTGTAAAAAATAATTTATTCCATCAGATTTTAAATTTTAAATCCTGCTGAATTTATCACTGGGATTTTTAGAACTCCAAACATGTTTTAATTATTTTTATTTTGAATTTTATTTGCTGAAATGATAAGCTTACATTTTTTAATGTGTTGAAATACTATTTTTCACTTTCTAAATATTTAGCACGAATATTTTCAAAGCCTCAAATTCATCAGTGGAAATTCAGAGCCTGAAAATGTTCACGGCAAAGATCCAAAAAGCCGTCGATCCAACTCAGGAACAACCGGGAAAGGAAAAGTCTGATTGGTCATTAACCTCACAAAACCACACACTTTTATTATTTATTTACTCTTTTATGATTTAACTATAAGCCCTGGTTTAGTCCTGGTTTAGTCCTGATGTAGTCCTGGTTTAATCTTAGTTTAGTCCTGTTTTTTTTAAATTTAGTCCTAGTTTTATTTAGTCCTGGTTTCAAACCTGTTTAGTAACTATAAGCTCCGCCCACAGACAAGAGCAGCCAATAAGAAACAGTCTCTGTCGTCCTCAGTCACAATCGATCGATCAATTTTTGTCTTTGGCCTTTTGGAGCTTTGCTGTGAAAATGTTCACATTTTACACAATTTTCTGAGTTTAGACTGTTGAATTTGAGGCTCTGAATGTGGATTTATATCTAGAATTTAAACACACTGAAAAAAAACTTTAAAATTCAGAATAAAAACCATTCAGACATTTAATTTTTTTTTCAGAATAAAAAGTTAAGCAGCGTTTAAAACTCTAAATCTGATGCCATAAATGCTGTTGAGTAGAGGTGTGGTGGAGACGCGCTGCCGCCGCCGCCGCCGCCGCCGCCGTGAATCCAAACTTTAATCTGTTTTTGTGTGTTTTTTTTTCTTAAAGACTTTCTACAGACCCGGAGCTTTTCTCAGCACAAACGTTTTTACAGATTCAAAAGACATTTACCGAATTATATCAGATCAGACTTTTGGTGAGAAAGTGTCACAAATGAAATGTGCCCATCACTTTTTATACATATTTATTATTTTTGTAGCTTATTAAATTTTAGTGGAGTGTGATTTGTGCTGTGTGATTTTTCTCACGCTCGGTTTATTTGATAAACTTTAAACGTGACGTCCTCAATCTAAGAAACAATCCTAATCCAGACTCTACACATTTTTCTGGTTTCTCCGGTTTAATCCCGTGATGCTTCGATTTCCTCACCCATTTCCCGCAGGATCGAGGAGAGGAATCGAGGGCCACGTCTCATTTCTCTTTCCTCGCTTCCTTCTGGATTCTGCAGGAAATGGGTGAGAAAATGTCGCCCACAGATGAGACACAAGAAGAAGACTCAGGTTTACTCCTTCAAAAACACATTTACCTGTCTCAAATATTATTCAAAATTTAAAATAGTGTCTCCTTTACTTTAGGGGGAACTGGAAAGGAAAAATATTTAGTTCTAATTATTTTAATATCTTTCTTTTCAAAGTTCCTTTTAAGAACATAATCTCTTTTAAGTGGCTTGGGAAAGGAATCGTTTAGAAAGGAACATCTCAAAAACGATCAGTGTTGTGGAGTAACAGATTACATGTACCAGAGTAATCAGAGTACAAATGATGAGTAACTGTATTCAGTTACAGTTACTGTTTCAGTGAGTGGTAATTGGATTACAGTTACTTTGTTGAAATAAATGAATTACACAGAGGGATTTTATTGTTTTCACTTTTTTTTTTTTTTTTTTTTTTTTGGTAATTCTACTCATTGCCGGACACTAAACCAGGACTAAAACCAGGACTAAACCAGGACTAAACCAGGACTAAACCAGGACTAAACCAGGACTAAACCAGGACTAAACCAAGACTAAACCAGGACTAAACCAGGACTAAACCAGGACTAAACCAGGACTAAACCAAGACTAAACCAGGACTAAACCAGGACTAAACCAGGACTAAACCAGGACTAAACCAGGACTAAACCATAAACCAGGACTAAACCAGACTTAAACCATAAACCTAAACGTTTAAACCATCTATAAACAATAATATTTTTAATTTGGTTCAGTAAAATCTGGACTTTTTATTTTCTTTTATCAGACAAAACTTCTTATGTGAAGATTTCCTCGTCTTTGTTTCTCTACAACAAATCAAGTAATCCAAAGTAATCAGATTACATTACTCACTTTAAGTAACTTGATGGATTACGTTACAAACTACATTTTGGGGTATGTAATCTGTAATCTGTAGGGGATTACATTTTAAAAGTAATACTCCCAACACTGAAAACGTGTTATTGCACTTTGAATCACAAAATTCAACCCCTTCAATGCAAAGTTTTCTCAGTCCAGGAGAATTACTCGAGTACAACATCTCCAGCTCAGTCAGAGCTTTTATAACTTGATCATATTTTCTAACTGAATCTGACATTTCTGACAGAAATCAGAATGTTGTAAAATACGTCCTTCATCATCCAAGAAGTGAGCTCCAGCCCATTCTCCTTTAGCGCACCTTTCCTCCATGAAAACAGATTTTCTGTTGACCAACATGTGGCTGTTATTCCACAGGAGTTAAATTATGTTTTGATAAATTAATTTCCAGTAAAGGAGGAGTGAGTGAGTTAGTGAAAATCTGAAAGTTTCAGTGGTAATTTATTTAACTCAAAATCACATTTTAACGTAAAGTTGATACCACCAGTTTTACTGAAGATTAGATTGGGAATGAAAAACCAAATAAAGTGACTGTTATTTAAAAAGAGCTTCAGCCAATTGAGTTTCAAAACTTCATTCATAATGTTAAAATCTACTGTCTCCACCTCCCTCCTCGTACGGTTTGATTAGTTCATCTTTTCCAGTGTAATAACATTTATTCTTCCAAATGAAGTTAAAATTAATGCTGTTGATTAATTTGATCATCCTGAAAATTCATCTAGAGAGACGATCTATTTTGGTCAATAATATCCTTAAAAAAACGGTTCTATCTCTTTATATCTGTATCTGTTTAAAGCACGTTTACATTCGTCTTTGGCTTGTAAGTCATTAAGTCTGTAAGTTATTTTATTATTTTATGTATTATTTATTATTATTATTATTATTATTATTATTATTATTATTATAATATATATATTATTTTATTTTATTTTATTATTTTCACTAAGTCTGTAAGTTATTTTAATAGATCCATGCTGTAAGTAAATAAACTGTAAGATTGAACCGAAACAGGAAAGGTTTTTTTTTTTTTTTTACCTTTAAATTTAATTAAAAATGTATAATATTTCACAAAATAAAATAATATTGCTCATAAATGGCCTTATAAATGATCGACAAACAATGAGAAACCAAATACAAAATAATATAAAAGAAAATGAGAAAACTCTGTAACAAATGTAAATACACTAGCGCCATCTACAGGCAGAACAAATGAACTGCTGCACTTATTGGTCTCATCATATATGTCCTTAAATGATTAAGTAAAAGTTGGAAATCTGATTCAGAATAATTGGATTTGTCTAATTTGGAGCAAAAATTGTGTATTTCTCTGTCAACTAAATTGGGATCCTCGGTGACAGTTCCCTTTATAGATATTTTTCCTTTGCTTTTCAAGGTTAAAGAAATAAGAGTTGTTTTTTTGTTTTTTTATCTTTCTTCAGTCCAGTAAAAGCCCCTTAACTTTTCCCATATAGAGAGCATCCAATTCAGACTGAAATTTATCTAGTTCAGTATTTGATACTTGCTTCTTTTCACATAAAATATTGATATTATTAATAAAACTCAGCTGTTTTTGTCTTTTTAAATTTGAGAGGAACCTACTTGTCTGAATTGAAAGCTCTTATTTTGTATTTCGTCCATTCCCATTTACTGACAGCCGCTGTTTTAAAGCATCACTTTTAAAATTACTTAACTTAACCTGTTTACAAAAATATGAATTATTTAGAAGGGAATTATTGAATTCACGGTCTTGTTTGGAAAACAGTAAAGACAGTGATATAATACAGTGGTCTGTTAAAGGAGAAGGGGATATATTGCATTTATTGTTATAAATTTTATCCATGGTGCAGAAATCAGACAAAAATCTATTTTAGAATTCTGACCATTGGTAGAGGCATTAAACCAAAAACTCCATCAATGACATTAGCACTATTCATTCATTTAATAATTAAATCATTGTATTTATGGTATGACAGTGGATTTTTATTCAGCCATAAATCAGGTACAAGTTAAAGTCGCCTCCAACAACACTTTTTTGTTGTATTTTTACAAACACAGATTTGTTTGAACAACTCATCATTAAACCTTTGTTTTTAAGCCCATCATTGTACCGTAAACACAAAATAAAACAATATTTTCATCATTGAATTCAGCAGTTATTATTATGACCTTTCGACTCACTTCTGTGGTTGATCATTTTACCAGGAAATGTATTGAAATGTATGAAATGTATTGAAGAGTGAAATCCTGTGGCTAAAATAGATCAATTCTCCCCATTGTAACTTCCAAAATCCCACATCCTCCTGTAGACAAACAAAATCAGCTTTTTGCTCCTTACAAAATAAGAAAATATCTTTCTGTTTTACAATATTTTAAGCCCCCAAGCGAAATAAAAGACAACAAACTTGTAATTACTGCACAGGTAAAGCGCAAAGTACAAAAGACACGCATGAATGAGAGGCAGGGCGACACCCTCAACATATGACTCCTAATGACGTTCTGTAGCGTGTAGTCAACCATCTAAAGGGAATTTTGCACTTTTGCACTTCCGTTTTGTCGCTTCTTCAATAAAAGTCTAAACTGTCTATGGTCGAAACAAAGCGGCACCACGTGTGTTTCACGAGAGGTTATGTCCGTAAGGAATCATTTACCTGTACAGTTTGTACAATATAATTGTCTTTTTTTTCTCGATTTGAAGTCTGTCTGCGGGTTCAATGCGTCAGTGTACAACTCTTATTTTGACATAGACCGGAAGTTAAGCGCTCAAACGACTATGACGTCGGAGGGTTGATCTATTGGGTTGATACCAGTAAATGCAGTGACTGGAGCATACAATCATCCTCACATGTCTCCAACGCTGCAAACCCGGTAAGAGTTTCGTGTTGTGCGTTTTGTATTGGACGTGTTTTATCTTTTGTTTGTGTTCTTCTAGTCTCTGTGTTAAAATCCTGACTGTACAAGTTTATACGTACAGTTTAGGTTATCTTTAGGTACTTTTTAATTTACCAGATCATGTTGTTATTAACACCACATTTACTTGTCTGTTTCAGACGGTTTTGGGTTTTATTTGGATGTTTTGTGTAGGGTTTAATGTAGTTAGTTTTTATGGAATCTATTTTGAATCAGACTGTTCAAAGAACGCTTTAAAACACCAAGCAAAAAAGTATAAATCGAAATAAAATACATTTGCAATCAAATCATTTGTGTAATCGTATAAAATATGTGTCTTTGTCTCTTTGGAAACATTTAGTTTTTATTGTTGTTCCTCAGTTTTGTTTGATGCTGTTTTCTTCTGATTAATCGTTCCTTAGTCGTGACAGGTGGGTGTAGTTGTGACTGTATGACACAGAGCCGGGGTGCATTCCCATTGGCTGATGAAATAGTCCACAACCCGCCCACCCCACGACTGTTTCCAGATTAGACTCAGAGATACAGGAAGTGCAAACGAGAAAACTTGAATCAGAACCAAAAGAAAAAAACATCATCAAATAAAAGTGAGAAAGACGCAGAACAAAAACAAAAAAGGCAAAGACAGATTTTTTACACAATTACACAAATAGGTACAAGACCAAAGTCTGATCCTGTCACATCTCAGAGGATCAGCAGGTCCGGGTCTGATCTGGACTTGGGAAACGTGGGAAAATCAGGAGCCACAGGAGGCGCCAGTCACAAAAACTGTTCTTGTGTCCTTAGGCAAGACACTTCACCCACATTGCTCAGTATGAAAGTGGTGTGTGTGTGTGTGTGTGTGTGTGTGTGTGTGTGTGTGTGTGTGTGTGTGTGTGTGTGTGTGTGTGTGTGTGTGTGTGTGTGTGTGTGTGTGTGTTGGTGGTCAGAGGAGCTGATGGTGCAGATTTGCAGCCTCACTTCTGTCAGTCTGCCCCAGGGCAGTTGTGACTACAGTAGTATCTAACCATGACCGGGTCTGGAGTGAATGAATAATGATCTGTAAAGCTGTGATATTTTATTTTATTTATTTTTTGTTTGATTATTTTTATTTGGTATTTTGATTTTCTATTTTTTGTTTTTTTGATGTTTTAACAGTTTTCTTTGAACTGTGTCACTCAGAATTGACTTTATTGGCTTTATATTTGTTTGTTTATCTTTCAGTCAGGGCTTATCCATTACATTTATCATTATTATTTTTTTCTTCTGTTTTGTTGGTGACATGTGTGTAATAATCGTGAGGTGTGGTGATACAAATGTTTGCAGTAGCGGAAACCTCCCTAGAGAAAACCAGCTTCCCTGTAACAAACACAGATTTGAGTTTTAATCCACAGAAGTTGCAGCTTTGGCTACAATAAGAGTTTACACCAATGATTGTGGAGTGAATGAATAATGAAATGTAAAGGGCTTTAGGGATCTTGAAAGGCGCAGTATAAATGAAATGATTGTTATTATTATTATTATTATTATTATTATAGAAATGATCAGGTGCAACCTTTGAGTTTTCTTTTTGGAGATTTTATGACAATTCCTGTATTTGAACAAGATCCTTCTCACTGTCCACATTGTTCCCAGCCCAAAGCTGTAAAACCGGTAGGAGGTCCTCTGGTATTTTGTAATGTGTGTTTGCACCTCCCACAGCACATTTTGTTTCCTCTACAGTTTGTGTGTGTGTGCATGCAGTGTGCATTTGTGGTCATACCGGTTTGTAAAAGCCTGACCCCGTCAGATCTCAGGAGCTCAGAGGTCTGGTCCTGGTCTGGACTTGGACTGAGACTCTGGGAAAATCAGGAGCCATAGGAGGCACCAGTGGGAATAACTGTTGTTGTGTCCTTAGGCAAAACACTTCACGCACATTGCCTAGTATGAAAGTGGTGTGTGTGGTCGGAGGGTCCGATGGCACTGATTGGCATGGCAGCCGTGCTTCTGTCAGTCTGCCCCAGGGCAGTTGTGGCTACAATAGTAGTTTACCATCAGCAGGTGTAGAGTGAATGAATAAAGCTGAATAATGTTCTGTAAAACGTCTTTGTGACAAAAATGTCTGTGAAAAGTGCTGTATAAATAAAGACTCACTTGCTAGTATTTAGTGTGGTTACATAAAATGTACATTTTATTTTTGAGCGACTCTCTGCATCCTTTATCTGAGTCATTTGTAAAGTTTTTTTTTTTCTTAAATAGCATTTTTAAAAATCTTAATCTTAATTTAAATCAGCAGGATCCAAGTGTTTGATGTAAACTGTTGCTGTTTAATGAGTTGATTCATGTGTTGCCATGGTGACGGTAGAACAGTATAATCATGAGTCTGACTCAGAGCCTCATGTTACCAGTCTGATCTGTGGAGACTCGGCTGCAGCTGTTTCTATAAATAATGTGATGGAGGTGTGGTGTTTTTTATTGGGTCTTAACTCTGGAGTCTCTAATACTATTTGTTGTTTTTTGTTTATATTTCAGATTTTCCTGCTCAACAAAAGAACTTTACACCATGAACACAAGTTCCAATAGACACTATGAAAATCCACGAGGCTGTCCCTCTTCTTATGGTAAGATTTACAGACGTGGACAAAAATGTTGATGTCCTTTGGACAGATGAGACAAAACTGGAGCACTTTGGCAAGACACATCAGCTCTGTGTTCACAGACACAAACATGAAGCAGACCAAGAAAAGAACACTGTCTCTACTGTGAAGCACGGAGGAGGCTTGGTTTGGTTCTGGGGCTGTTCTGCTGCATCTGCCACAGGGCGTCTTGAATCTGTGAAAAATACAACGAAATCTCAAAACTGTCAAGGTGTTTTGGAACAAAATGTGTCGCCTGGTGTCAGAAAGTTTTGGTCTCAGTCGTAGATCAAGAGTCTTCAACATGATAATGACCCAAAACACACAGAGAAAAACACACAAGAACGACTAAGAACAAAACACTGGACTGATCTGGAGCGTTCTTCTGTTCTGGAATGTTCTTCTGTTCTTCTGTTCTGGAGCGTTCTTCTGTTCTGGAGCTGTTCTTCTGTTCTGGAGCGTTCTTCTGTTCTGGACTGTTCTTCTGTGAGTCCAGATCTCAGTCCTACTGAACATCTGTGAAAGGAGCTGAAACATGCGTCTGGAGAAGGAACCTTCAAACCTGAGACTAGAACAGTTTGTTGTACAGAGCAGAAGTTTCACTGACAGTTACAGAAATTGTTTGTTTGCAGAATTTGCCTCAAAAGTTTGTGTAAAAAATATAAAGTTATTGGAACCATCATTTTTGTCCAGGCCGGTTTCATTATTTTGTTTTTTTTAATAATTCTGCTTAACCACATTTTTATTTATTTATTGCTTTTCTCAGTTTCAAGTTATTTCAGTGACCATTGTTTTCTTTCATTGCCAGAGGAGACCGACAATTTTGTCCACGTCTGCAGTTTCTTCTTTTCCAAATAGATTAAGAAGAACATTTAATACAATTAAACTAAAGAAATTCTGCTTAATTTAGCCTCCGTTTGTTCTTGAGGCTGCAGCTTAAATAGAACATAGAGACTGTCACTGATCCTGGGTCTTTGTGTTTGTGGACAGGTCACACTGCTGCCTTTTGTTAGCAGCTCCACATGTCCCTACACTTACAGGACAAAAGACGGGCTGGAGTGTCCCAAGTGTGAAACCAGGTGAGTGTCAAACCACAGGAGGAGGAGGAGGGGAGGAGGGGGAGAGTAGGGTGTGATAGAATTTTTTGGGTCACAAGACATTAAGTCTTTTAAAGGTTTAATCTATGTTTAAACACATCAAGTCCACAAAATTATTAATCTATGTTTAATCATTGCACAATATAAGATTATCAGAATTGCTATGTGATCTGTTCAAAACTGTATGTAACTACAAAACCATCAGCTGACCTGCTGACGCACCAGCTAATTATTGTAATTAAGGTTGGACAGGAGGAGGAGGAGGAGGACAGGAGGAGGAGGAGGGGAGAGGAGGAGGACAGAAAGAGGAGGGGGGGACAGGAGGAGGACAGATGGAGGAGGGGGACAGGAAGAGGGGAGGAGGGGGGACAGGAAGAGGAGAGGAGGGGGGACAGGAGGAGGAGAGGAGGAGACAGGAGGAGGAGAGAGGAGCGGGGACAGGAGAAGGACAGATGGAGGAGGGGGACAGGAAGAGGGAGGGGACAGGAAGGAGGAGAGGAGGGGGGACAGGAGAGAGAGGAGGAGGACAGGAGGAGGAGAGAGGAGGAGCGGGGACAGGAGAAGGACAGATGGAGGAGGGGGACAGGAGAGAGGAGGGGAGGACAGGAGAGGAGGAGAGGAGGGGGGACAGGAGAGGAGAGGAGGAGGGACAGGAAGAGGAGAGAGGGGGACAGGAGGAGGAGAGGACAGGAGGACAGGAGGAGGAGAGGAGGAGGAGGAGGAGGAGGAGGAGGAGGACAGGAGGAGGAGGGAGGAGGAGGACAGGAAGAGAGGAGGGGGGACAGGAGGAGGAGAGGAGAAGGAGAGGAGGAGGACAGGAGGAGGAGGGGGACAGGAGGAAGGAGGAGGGGGGACAGGAGGAGAGGAGGAGGAGGAGGACAGGAGGAGGAGAGGAGGGGACAGGACAGGAGGACAGGAGGAGGAGAGGAAGAGGAGAGGAGGAGGGGGGGACAGGAGGAGAGGAGGAGGACAGGAGGAGGAGGAGGACAGGAGGGGAGGAGGAGGAGGACAGGAGGAGGAGGGGAGGAGGAGGAGGAGGACAGGAGGAGGAGGAAGACAGGATTTACGACAACAGACTCATGTTACTTTTCTGTCTGGTACCTGCTCGTCTCCATGGAGATGTTCGTGTTAACCTGTAATGTTCCACAATACAGAATTCATCAGCTTATTAATCTTACATTTATTCATTTTTAGTTCTTTTAATTTTCATAGCCTGAAAATCGAGCATTGTTCCCGTGAGCAGGTCACGTCTCCACTGGTCACATGACCACAGCACCTAAACTTTGCACCTGCAGTATAATGAAAAGGCTGCACAGGTGACAAGAAATTACATCAGTTTTGTGTTTCCACCACACTGACCTCTGACCTGTCGTCTGTGTGACCTCTGACCTGTCGTCTGTGTGACCTCTGACCTGTCGTCCGTGTGACCTCTGACCTGTCGTCTGTGTGACCTCTGACCTGTCGTCTGTGTGACCTCTGACCTGTCGTCTGTGTGACCTCTGACCTCTCATCAGTATTTTTTTCTTTGTTTTTTGTTCCTCTGTTTCTTCTTCTTCATGTTTGTTTCTCACATAAACCTGAGGCCAGTTCACACTCAGCCCCAGAGCCGAGCTTCATTTTCTCTTTTATTTAAACTCTGCAGTTTAAATAAAAGTGTTTGTATTTGAAACTGACAGCAAAAGCTCTTTTATGTAACATGTTCTACCAAGAAACCACCTGGTTTAAAACAAAGGACGACTGGATAAAGTGGGTGTAGGTTTAAAAGACATTTTAAGTTATTCTGATCTATATTAAACAGTTCTTTGTTGTTCTCGTCTGCTGTTCTTGATTGTGTTTATTTGTTGCTGACAGGATCTCGAGTGGATCAGGACTGTACAACATTCTACAACACCAAGTGTCTCCCGTGTGACGATGGGACGTACACAGACGAGTGCACAGAGAGGACAGAGTGTCTGCGCTGTACGAGCTGTGACTCAGGTATGAACTACAACAGTGTCCCCTGTGCACTTTTAAAACACTCTACTACGCTCTTGAGAGAAAAAACAGGAATCATCATTGTCCTTGGCGACTTTAACAGAAATAAAAAATCTAATCAAAAGTGTAAATCTTCCTCAGTTAAAGAATCCACGAGAGTAGATTGCGGCTGGTCCTTTTCGCTGACAGGAGCTGGGTCCTTGACGTGACGCCCATTTTCAGCCTAATCACTTTAAATGACTTTCTAAATAATCATTTTATTACTGTGCAAAAATAAATGTTCTGTAAATTACATCCAGTTTTAGAATGAAATTGTTTTTCATTTTATGGTTTCTCAACAGAAAAACACTCAGACGTCCTGCAGTGTGACAGTGTGACAGTGTGACAGTGTGACAGTGTGACGTCCTGCAGTGTGACAGTGTGACGTCCTGCAGTGTGACAGTGTGTGACGTCCTGCAGTGTGACAGTGTGACAGTGTGATGTGACAGTGTGTGTGACAGTGTGACAGTGTGACAGTGTGATGTCCTGGTGTGACAGTGTGACAGTGTGACAGTGTGACAGTGTGTGTGACAGTGTGATGTGTGACGTGTGCGTGTGACGTGTGCGTGTTACATGTGATGTGTGACGTGTGTAAAGTGTCAGTGTCACTGGAGTCGCTCTTTGTTTCTCTGGGATAAAAAACTTTGGACTCTGTGTAGTGTGTGTAGTTGTGTAGTTGTGTGTGTAGTTGTGTGTAGTTGTGTGTTTGTGTGTTAGTTGTGTGTAGTTGTGTAGTTGTGTGTAGTTGTGTGTAGTTGTGTGTAGTTGTGTGTAGTTGTGTGTGTAGTTGTGTGTAGTTGTGTGTAGTTGTGTGTTTGTGTGTGTTGTGTGTGTGTAGTTGTGTGTAGTTGTGTGTTTGTAGTTGTGTGTAGTTGTGTAGTTGTGTGTAGTTGTGTGTAGTTGTGTGTAGTTGTGTGTAGTTGTGTTTGTGTGTAGTTGTAGTTGTGTGTGTGTGTTAGTTGTGTGTAGTTGTGTGTAGTTGTGTGTAGTGTGTGTGTTGTGTGTAGTTGTGTGTAGTTGTGTGTAGTTGTGTGTGTGTGTAGTTGTGTGTAGTTGTGTGTGTGTGTGTAGTTGTGTGTAGTTGTGTGTAGTTGTGTGTAGTTGTGTGTAGTTGTGTGTAGTTGTGTGTAGTTGTGTAGTTGTGTGTAGTTGTGTGTAGTTGTGTGTAGTTGTGTTAGTTGTGTAGTTGTGTGTAGTTGTGTGTAGTTGTGTGTAGTTGTGTGTAGTTGTGTGTAGTTGTGTGTAGTTGTGTGTAGTTGTGTGTAGTTGTGTGTAGTTGTGTGTAGTTTGTGTGTAGTTGTGTGTTGTGTGTAGTTGTGTGTGTGTGTGTTTGTGTGGTAGTTGTGTGTTTGTGTGTAGTTGTGTGTTGTGTAGTTGTGTGTAGTTGTGTAGTTGTGTGTAGTTGTGTGTAGTTGTGTGTAGTTGTGTGTAGTTGTGTGTAGTTGTGTGTAGTTGTGTAGTTGTGTGTGTGTGTGTGTGTGTTGTTGTGTAGTTGTGTAGTTGTGTGTAGTTGTGTGTGTTGTGTGTGTAGTTGTGTGTGTTGTTGTTGTGTGTAGTTGTGTGTAGTTGTGTGTAGTTGTGTGTTGTGAGTTGTGTGTAGTTGTGTGTTTGTTGTGTGTAGTTGTGTAGTTGTGTGTTAGTTGTGTAGTTGTTTAGTTGTGTAGTTGTGTGTAGTTGTGTGTAGTTGTGTGTAGTTGTGTGTAGTTGTGTGTTTTGTGTGTAGTTGTGTGTTGTTGTGTGTGTGTAGTTGTGTGTAGTTGTGTGTGTAGTTGTGTGTAGTTGTGTGTTTGTGTGTGTTTGTTGTGTGTAGTCTGTGTAGTTGTGTGTTTGTAGCTGCAGGTTGTGGATTTGATAAATTCCAAACAAGTTCAGACCTGAAAGAAAAAAAACAGAGAAAAAAAAGAGAAAGAAAGAGAGAAGGGGGGGGGAGGAGTGGGGGGGGGGGGGGGGGGGGGGGGGGGAGAAGTAGGGGGGGGGGATTTTTCAAATTAGGTTTTGAACAGATTTTTATTGTGTTTATCAAAAACATTTTACACTGAATTTGATCCACACGTCCAAGAACTGAAGAGTTCACACTAGAGCCCGACCGATATGGATGTAGTTGTGTCCGATATGAAACCGATATACTGGGAGTTGGAGCTGCCGATATAATCACCGATATATTTAGTGAAGTAAAATTCACTGTAAATGTTGAATTACTAAAAAAAAACTTCGGTTTGTCTCTGGTGGATTTTAAACTGGGTTTATTTAGGAAACATTTATTGTTCTTCTGCCTCTTGACGTGAAATGTCAAAGGACTAAAACAGAACTGAACCAGGACTGAAAAAGGACTAAACCAGGACTAAAACAGATCTAAACCATGTGTAAAACAGGACTAAACCAGAACTGAACCAGGACTGAGTGTCGGGACTCGGTCTCTGTCTCTCTCCGTCTCTTGAGCCCAAGATTAGTCCTGGTTTATTGATTTCATGCTGAATATATTTATGCATATATTTTTGAAAGTTTCGTTTTTAGTCGCTGTCAAACTCCCACGAGTCTGAACACGACGTGAAGAGAAAAAAAGTGAGAGAAAGAGAAAACACGGCTCCCAATAAGAAACATGCTCCCGTCGTTCTCTTCAAAGAGCCGGATCAAAGAGCCGGATCAAAGAGCCGGATCAAAGAGCCGGATCAAAGAGCCGCTTCGATCACGACCGACTCATCACGACTAGAGAGTAAAGAAACTAGTGCTGTTAACCTTTAGCCGTAAATGCTGCGCCGCGGTCATTAATTCTATGTGTAAATGTGGATCATTCACACGTCTGTTCACACTCATTTACATCAATGCAGCTGCAGAAACAAATATACAAACAATATAATCAATATAATCACTTTACAACAGATCAATAGAAAACAGACTGTTTATGTGACACACAACAGATCAACAAGAACAAATAAACAAAACTAACTTCAAAGTCCATGTATTTACAACAGTCAGACTCACACAGG